AAAAAAAAAAAAAAAAACAGAGAAAAAATGATATTGTCTAGTATGTTGTTGCTCTTAAGTGCCATCAAGTAGGTCTTGACTCACAGCAACCCTGTATAGTGTTTCCAGGAGCAGCCGGTGAGTTTGAATCACTGTTCTTGCTATTCAAACCAATCTTGTGGTCCAGGGCTTATCCCTTGTTGTTGTAGTTAAGTGCTGTGGAGTCGGTTCCGACTCAAAGTGGTCCTATATATAGGGTTTCTGAGGAGCGGCTGGTGGGTTTGAACTGTTGACTTGGTAATACAAAGTCCAGGGCTGATCCTTACAGTGATACACCACTAATATGGTGCTGAAAAAATGAGCCTTTCCGATTGTAAGACTCTCAAAATATGAATAAGGACTAACTGCTTCCTCAAGTAGAGCTGACCATAATGGCATGGATGAAATAAAGCTTTCAGGACCTTCTTTTGCTGATGTGAACCGACTCAAAACAAGAAGACATCTTCAAGCACCCATTAGTAATTGGAATGTGGAATGTACAAAACATACATCTAGGAAAACTGGAAGTCATCAAAAATGAAATAGAATACATAAAGATCAATATCCTAGGTATTAGTGAGCAGAAACAGACGGGTATTAGCCATTTAAAATAAGACAATCATATGATCTGCTATGCCAGGAATGGCAAATTGGTAAGATATGGCAAATTATAGGATAATATCCATATATCTGCAAGATGACCAAGCACTAATGTAAAAAATGAGGAAATTTAAGGTATTTATCAATTTCTTCAGTCTGAAATTAATCAAATATGCAATCATGATTCAATAATAATTATTGGGTGCTTAAAATGCTAAAGTTAGAAACAAAAAAGAAGGATCACTCTTTGGATCCACAATCAATGGCTATAGAAGCAGCTGCCAAGAAATCAAATGATGTATTGTTACATTGTACAAATCTACCATAAAAGATCTCCTTAAAGTGTTAAAAAAGCAAACATGCCACCTTGAGAACTAAGGTGCATGATATTTTCAATCACTTCATATGCATGGTAAAGCTAGACCAAAGAAATGAGTGTCTTGATTATGATGTTGTTGAAGAATATTGAATATACCACATACTGCCAGAAGAACATACAAGTCTGTCTTGGAAGACATACAGCAAGAATACTCCTTACAGACAAATAGGATGAAACTTCATCTCAAGTACTTTGGTCATGTTATCAGGAGGAGCTAATCACTGAAGAAGGAAATCATGTAGAAAGCCAGTGAAAAAGACAAAATTCCTCAAGGAGCTGGATTGACATTGTGCCTATAAGAAAGGGCTCAAATGCAACAACATTGTAAGGATGACACATGACCCAGCAGTGTTTTGTTCTCTTGTACAGGGGGATGTTATGAAATGAAACAGACTAAAGGATACCTAACAATAGTGATATGTAAGCATCAAGGGGACAAAGAACTTGAAACCTATTTCTTGTTATGTTTCTAGAATGTAAAATAGTGTTTGACACATGTTGTTGCTGTTGCTAAGTGCCATCAAGTCGGTTCCAACACATAGCGACTCTGTATAGGGTTTCCAAGGAGCAGATTGTAGATTTGAGCCACCAACTTTGTGACTAACAGTTCAGTGTTTATCTTACAGCACCACACCAGAACTCATAATAACTGGTAAATAAATAATAGATGATTATTTAAATTGCTAACAAAGTTTGATTAACTGAGATAAATGACAATATAATAAGGGTAAAATGTATCCAAAGGATGTGGCACATAAAATATAACATCTATTAGATTGTTCTTGTTGTGATGGAAGAGATAGTGTATACACTCCAATTAATTTTCTGCTCTGTACATGAGAGTTTATATTACATACTGAAAATATCTAGGTAAGTTCTGTGCACTAGAAATAAAATGAAAGGTACAAATGCAAGCCAAGTGAGTGATTTTAAATTTTCTACTAGACACATTAAAAAACAAAAAGAAATAGGTGAAATTCATTTAAATGTATTTTTCTTAACCTTGTACTCAGACATCCAAGCTATTATCATTTCAGCATATAACCAATATAGAATATTATCAATGAAATAGTTTATACTTTTCTCCATTTACACTATTCAAATTTTTGTAAACATTTGGAAGTATTTTATACATGCATCACATTTCCATTTTCACTAGTGTTTAGCAGTCACCTTATGGAACAGTGCAATTCTGGCTAATATGTATACACTGTGGCAGGGTTGAGCTCCGGTGTGGGCTGTAGGATAAGTGCTGGGCTGATAATGACAAGGTTAGCATTCAAACCCAACAGTTGCTCTTAGAAATCTATTGGGTTGCTGTGAGTTGGAATTGACTCAATGACATACAACATTAAAAACAAAATGTTGTTGGGCCAATGCTCTTTGAATAGGTTTTTCTAGTTTTGGACATCTTTATATACAACCTTCTTCTTCTTTTTTTTTTACTGTAACACTCTTTACTTTAAGGCGGAACTCTTTACTTTAAGTATTATTATTGTTAAGATAAATGGGAAAGAAAAATGACTATTCATCTTTAAAAATGGAATGCATAGCTCAGCTTTATTTTTCAAATAGATAAATAAATAAAAGAATCTTGGAACACACCATGTAAAAATATTATTAAAGGAGAATTCCAAGCATTTTTAAAAGAGAACAAGGTTTTCTAAATTCTAGAACTTTCCCTTTAGGTCATCTGAATAGAGGATGGGAGTCTGAACTTAGCTTTGTGCCATAGGCACTGAGAGTTTAGACTATGACTTTAGGGAAGTTCCCTTCTGTTTCAGGAAGAAGGAAGAATGAAGCAAAGGAATGGCATACTGTACAGGTGTTGAGAAGGTAACACTGACTAGGTCCCTCAAAGCTGAAATAACCCATGTCCATGTTCCATGGAAACCCTGTACAGGGTCACTATGATTCTGCTCTGACTTGATGGTACTTCATAACAACAGAGTTTCAGAGAGTTGTTCCTGTCACCTACCTTGCAAAGATGTTGGATCCAGGTGCTGGCAAGGTCTAGGTCTTAGAAACACCTAGTCACAGAGCAGTGGTGATAAACAGCTTTGCTCTTTGGCTAGAAGTACAATGTGACTTCTTCAATAATGAGGGAGAATATGGATGGCATATGGCAATTCTGATGTTTGGAACTTACGTCATCTGCAGTCACTGTCATCACACTCCTGCTTTTCTTCATTATAGAGTTGGAGAAGATCCCCTATCAGGATGTCATCCAATGCCACTTTATGAGTAAGTTTTATGATCTACAGGGGAAAAACACACGTAAAAATGACAACTTCTGTATTCCCAATTACAAACAGATACATTCATTATTTACACTTGACTAACTAACCTTTGAAAGGAGCTCTGGTAGCATAGTGGTTACGAATCAGGCTGTGAACTGCAAGGTCAGCAGTTCAAAATAGCCAGCTGCTCTGTGGGAGAAAGAAGAGGCTTTCTGCTCCCGTAAAGATTTACAGCCTCGGAAACCCTGTTCAGGGTCGCAATGGGTCGGAACCGACTTGACGGCACTTAACAACAACTAACCTTTGAAATGTATACAATATACATGCATAAGTAAATATCACAATTTCCCAAGTCAGTTAATCTTGACATGCTGGAGGAACAGAGGTTCACAAAATGCAAGAATCTAAGAAACTAATACAAAGCTATTTGGAGGAGAGAATAAGCATAAAAGGCAACAAGTAAGATCCCAAATAATCAATGATCATAAGGAATATAGAAATAACATGCATCTGTGAAGGGCTTTATAGTTTGCAAAGTATTTTAACGTACAATATTTCATCTGATTTGCTTAACAGTCAGCAAGATTGATTTTTTTCTTCATATATATATTCTTTTTATTAGAAACAGGTCAGAGAAATTATTTGGCCAAGGTAACACAGTTAAGACATGGAAGATTCAGAATTAAAAGAACATGAGTCCTTGATTATATTGTCATTTAAAAAGAGAGAGAGGAAAAGGGAAGGAAAAATAGTTGTATTAGAAAACCAATATAAAAAACTATGAGTGGAGCTTCCAAAGCTTCAGAAGAATTTATCTTTTATACTCATTTTTCTACAAACTTTTTGACACCCCATCATATTTATGTGTGTTTTTAAGTGCAATAGAGTTGGTTACTACTCAGAGCAACCCAGTATAGGATTCCCAAGGCTGTAAATCTCCATGGGGCTGTAAATCTTTTCTGGAATAGAAAACCTCATCTTTCTCCTGCAAAGCAGCTGGTGGGCTTGAATCTCTGACATTATAGTTCACAGTCCAGTGTATATCTTACAGAGCCACCACACCCCTCCTCATATATATGAGAAAAATGTCCTTAATCTCAATTTATCACCAATTGCACTCTTTCAGAAGTATAGGGACCTCAGAAAGTATTTATCACAGAGAAATTTAGCAATAATTAGAAAGAACTGGAAATCACACAAATCCTGCCATTTTCAGACACTCAGTAGTTCCCAACATGTTTTGTATAGATCATTTTAGAGCCACATCAGAAACAAAGAGCCTCAATAATACTATCAAAATGGAAGGGTCCACCCCAGTTGTGCAACCTGAAAAACTTTTCACTGGTTAATGGAAACTCAGTCTATTAAAACAAGTCCAAATTTCAAATTCACTCAGACCAAGACTATAAAAAAATATGAATAAGTATATATTTGCAGTATTTAACTGGAAAGACAAGGCAACTTCACAAGATCTTGGTATCTAAAAATGTTCAGTATCATTGCTGAATCTCAAGAAACTCCTATGTATTTCCTTACTCTGTACATTTAAATATTTAATATATGATTGATTTGAAAAGTCAGCTTCGCTAGCATGAAGATATATATAGATTTAGAGCTAGATGGAATTGTATTTATGTGACTAGGAATACTAAGTAGTAGATTTGTATCATCACCCAGGAAACCGGGGTTGAATTTCTAACACATAATTTGACTATATTATGCAGGAGTTAAGCAGCACTGATGGTGGAGTTGTTAAGGCATTCTATTCCTAACCAAAAGGTCAGCATTTTAATCCCAACAGAAGAAAGAAGGGAGTTGGCAGTGAAACTGACAAAGTGGTGGTGCGGGGAGAGCGGGCAATAAATGCCACCTTTATAAGTGTTCAAGGAAGAAAACCCTACAGGTTTCAGATGTTTGATTCAATTGATGTTGTTGTTAAGTGCCCTTGAGTCAGTCCCGACCCATAACCACCTTGCACAGGTTTTCGAAGGAGCAGCTAAAGAGTTCAAAGCAAGCTTTTGGTCCTGTGTATATTCTACAATGCCACATCAATATGATTCACTAGGCCAAGGAAACTCATTTCTTCATCATAAACCCAGGATAATTACAACTACTGTACTCTTCTAATGTTGGCCAAACAGCAGTAGGCAGAAACTTAGAACTTTTATACTCAAAAGCTTTTTGAAAACTAACAAAAGTGGACAAGTAACAGAAATATTTTAACCAAAAATTATGTTCAATCCTGAGTGCCTCTATAAGGCTGAACTGCGGGGGTGGTAAGGAGTTTATACCCTTAAGGTGAAATAAAAAGAGTATGACTCAAGAATTAAGTTTTAAATATCATAATACTGGATTTAAAATTATATATACCCACTGATGATAACTATGTAAAAGCAGAACCATAGAAAAATATTACAGAAGCTGTGTGAAATTGTTAATGGACGTCATATAAGAGTTGTAGGAGGTTTTTTTCTCTCCACTTTCCAAATTGTTAGTGATGTTATATAATTTTACAAGCAAAAAAAGAATGGATAAGTCTATTGTGTATATTATATATCTATGTGTGTGTGTGTTGTTGTTGATGTTAGGTACCATTGAGTTGATTCTGACTTACAGCAACCCTATCACAACAGAACAAAGCACTGCCCAGTCCTGTCAACTTCAAAAGTGCTGTTAAAATAGAGCCCATTGCTACTATCACTGTGCCAATACATCTTGTTGGGAGTCTTCCTCTTTTTTCACTGACTCTCCACTTTACCAAGCCTTATGTTCTTCTCTAGGGACTGGTCCTTCCTTACACTATGTTCAAAGTATGAGAGATGAAGTATTGCAATCTTGGCTTCTGAAGAGCATTCTGGCTATACTTTGTCCAGTATTTGTTTGTTCTTCTGACAGTCCACGGTACTTTTAATACTCTTCTTCAACACAATAACACAAATGGATCACTTCTTCTATGTTGTTTTTTATTCACTGTCCAAGTTTCAT